ATTATAAAAAACTGCACTTTATCCGTAGGTTGCTTATAACTCTTCGATATTTAGCCACAGGCGAAACGTTTACTCAATTATCGCACGGATTCCGAGCCTCTGTTTCAGCAATTTCACAAATTGTTCACCCAACTTTAAAAGCTATTTATTCAGTCTTAAAGGATGAATTTTTAAATGTAAGGCCATGTGACAAATACTATACATATGTTCTATTAATTGCTTCCAACAATTTTTGTTATTCCTAGATGCCTCAAACTAGCAATGCATGGCACATTGTAGCAAATGAGTTTGAAAGGAAGTGGAATTTTCCACACTGCTTGGGTGCTATAGGTTTGAAGTCCTCAAATTGATGTTAAGTACATATTATTACTGCTATATCTCTTTTAAAAATTACAGATGGGAAACATATAGCCCTTCGTTATCGAAAAGATTATGGGCCTTATTTTGATAATTATATGGGATTTCACAGTGTTATATTGTTAGCCATAGTCGATGCAAATTATAAATTTTTATACGTTAATGTTTGCACAAATGGGAGAGCCAATGATGCTGCAGCTGTTAATGAATCCTATTTTTTGGAAGAAATAAGAAACAATGGGTTTAATATTCCACCTGATTCAGAGCTACCTGGCACTAGTGAAAAGGTCCCATTTGTATTTGTAGCGGATGATGCTTTCAAGTTAACTTCTCGCATATTAAAACTACATGACCAACCAACAAGTGATTTCCACAAAATTTTTAATTACCGTTTGAGTAGGGCCAAACGAGTAGTTGAAAATGCCTTTGGAATATTGGCAAACAGATTCCAAATACTTCAGAGAAGTATTGATTTACCTATGGAAAAAGTAAAGGTTTTAACCCTTGCAGCGTGCGCCTTACACAACTTCATTGGAACACGGGATGGTTTTGAAAGTGCTTTACTGGACTCTGAGGATACAGATGCAATAAGTTTAACTGATGGATCTTGGAGAAATGAAGTATTTTTAACCAGCTTGCAAAGATCACTTGAAAACCGCTCAGAGACGGAGGGAAGAACAGTGCGGGAAACTTACACACAGTATTTTAATACAATTGGTTATGTTCCATGGCAATTTAATGCAATAAAAAACTTAAATTTTTAAATTCCCATTCGTGTATTCATCTCCAATTAATATTACTTAAAAAATTAAAATTAGGATATACATATGTACATACATAAGTATGTATATGATAGATACTTTTAATGCAAAATTTCTAACACTAAATTGTTTCTAGTTAAAAGGAATTATGAAAATGTATGTAAGTTAACGAGTAATATTTAAGCAAAAAACAATACCGATTTAAATTCTCATATACAAATGTAAGATTACTGTTAATTTCTTCATGTTCCAATGATCGAGATTAAACCAAATTAGTGTGGGAACCCCTCTGAGGTACCACCTTTCCTTTGAAAAAAAAATTATAGGAATCGGTTCACGTGGTCCAAAGTTATGTGGTAACATACATTAAAAAAAAAATGTATTCCGACGAATAGATAACCTCCTTTTGTGAACTCTGTTAAAAATAGATAATTGAAGCTAACATTTTTGATAAGCAGTATAGTATTCAGCGAACTTAAATTATGCTTAAATTTAGTAGTAAGTATATTTCATAAATGTAATACCACTAGGTTGGCGCTTACACATATGTTAGTGTTTGGCCGAGCTTCTACTCCGATTTGAGGCGTGCGCGCCTTGATATTGTCACACAAAGGGGAGGGACCTAGAGTTTTACGCTGACTTCGAACGGCGATTGTATTTTTTTGAGAAGCCGCTTTTCATGGCAGAAATACACTCTGAGGTTTGCCATTGCCTACCGAGGGTACCGCTGTTAAAAAAAAAAAATGTTTTTATAAATTTTTTTGCGTTGTTGGGTGCGTTCAGAAATGCATCAGGCTAAAGCATCAGTCTTTTGTTTCTAAAATATAATTCATGGAATGTCTTACTTGCGCAACTAAGTTCCAATTCGGCTTTAAACCGTGGTTGCGCATATTTGACATTTCCATCAATTATAGTTTAGAAATAAAACAGATTGATGCTTTGGCTTGATGCATTTCTGAACGCGCCCGTGCTCACCACTACACCAGAGCGGCCGTGATAAAATACTGCCACGAAGTATTGACGAGTTTGGACCTTTTTATTTTCAAAAATCGATATTTTTATCCATATCCTTTCTTTGAAGTCGGTTAAAAATCTGTAAAAATTAAGTTGCCGACCTACATATTACTAAAATTGAATCGGCTTTAAAACTGCATAGCCCAAAAAAACTTTGGTAGAACAATGTGATTGTTCAGACTCACCTGGTTATCAAGATATCTGGTTATGTGGTTATATTCTTTATTCAGTTTAGAACAATAAAATACACTACGGAATAATGGGGCACAATCATAGTCGAAATAAAGTCGACTCTAAAGTTAGTTCCAGCTTTTTCGACAAAAATTCCATTGGAAATTATGTCAAAAAGTAGTTTTCAAGCCAAGGTACATTGAATAGGTAGTATCAGTAGAGCAGCTGATTTGATTTATTTTCAAATTATTTGGTCTCGAAAATGTCAAATATTTTTAATTTTTTCTCACAAAAATTCTGAATTGTAAAAACCATTTGCATGTGAAACCTTTTTCCACACAAAACAAGCGATTGAATAGCAGCTTTTGGAACGTTCGCCCAACTCAGCAGCACAACCGCTGATTACTGGCCCTTGTAAAGGATGGATCAATGCTTCGAGAAGCAAACAAATTTACTAGGAAAGAAAGTTGCAACAATTTTTATTTTTTCCAATTTCAATTTTTTATTTTTTATAATTTTTTGTATTTCACATGGCACGCTTTGATTTTGAAGAAAAAATCCAGAACAGTTTTTGACACTTTCGATACCAGAAGCAACAACGAAAAACACGCAAATGTTGTTTTTGCTCTACTGATACTACCTGTTTAATGTGCCTTGTTTTCAAGCAAAAAACCAAACCAACTTCAATTCTCATATAAAAAATTTAAGATTATCGTTGATTTCTTTATGATCCAATGATCGGATTTAAACCAAACTAGTATGGGAACATCTGCGAGTCAACTCTTTTCATTAAAAAAGGATTATAGAAATCGGTTAATTTGGTCCAAAGTTATGCGGCAACATACTTAAAAAAAAGATTCCGACGAACTGATAACCTTGTGAAGTCGGTTTTATTTGAACTATGAATATCCCAACTTTTTACCAGATAACCTGTAACTACAAAGGAATTTTGATGATATTTTTTTTGAATTTTGCACAATGTTTGAAATTTTAATTGACAAATGTATTTGTTTTCGTTGTAGAATGAAATTACATATCGTTACCCTAATTCGGAAAGGTGCTAACCAATATGTTTTTTTTTTGCAGGACAAGAGTAAAACATAACAAGTAATTTTTAAGCAACAAACAAAACCGACTTCAATTTTCATAAAAATAAAAATAAAAAATATGCCGACGAACTGATAACCTCCTCCTTTTTTGGAAGTCGGTTAAAAATAATATCAAAACCAGCTAGGACTTTTTAAAAAGTGGCATGTAACTCCGTGGTTTTTGGTACCAACACTACATTTTTATTGAAGGTGTATTTTAATACATCCTATCAAAATCTGTAAAAACGCAGTTTCGAAAAAAGTGTTGTTTACGGCCTTTGTTAATTAAGGTAACGATATGTAAAATTTAACATACAAAAGGTCAAAACTTGTCAATAGCTCGTGGCTCTATTTCATCGCACATCATCTATTTGTAAACTAGCTTAATTTATAAAAAGCGTAAAGGCTGCGGCCGTGGCCTAGTGGTTAGATATGCGTACTACCACAGAATGTATTTCCGCCATAAAACAGCTTCTCATAACATCCATTTGCCGTTCGGTGTAACAACATCAATACGCACACCACGAATTGGTGAAGCTCTACCAAACGCTTTAGCAAAAGTTAGAGCGCCCAAATATTATTATTATTATAAGTCTCAGTCATATAAGGTGACTTCATATGAACTTTGCACCATTTTCCTTTCTTTTTTTTTAGCTTGGAAGAGTAAATGAACAAAAGATTCCTTCAGTTCCTCTTTGATTTCTACATTTTGAAGCGTGCGGAATTCTTGCATTAAGAACTTGCAGAAGGCGTCGTCATTGGCATCCAAATCCGAACTTGTTTTCTTTGTAACACACTTCAATGCCTCAATTGCAGCTTCTAGCACATCGTTTTCCTTTGCAGATGCTGCAATTTCATTACTTGGCCGTGCTCGCTTTTTGCTTGGCCCAGTGGGAGACGACGACTCTCTCTCAGAATTGTGTGAATTTGCGGAATCATCTGGAAACTGGAATAAAAAATATTACTTATGTACATAGTTTACACGAACTAAACAAATATATTTGTAATCAACGCAAGCATTATGCAATCCACTAGCTTTGCGACCGCCGGTTCAACTCTAACAGCTCAACTAAAACACGCACTTCGGCTGAGCCTTCCATTTTTCATAATTTAGTGGATAAATGAAACTCACCCACGATGTATGCATGTGCTATGCGTCGAGCAAAACATCCTCAAGTTGAATCAATGGTCACAATGTTTATGGTTTGCTTTACATACCGAAGAATTATTTTCTCCTTTACGGACCTTTAAAAATTTGGTAAGAAAACCTAGATTCTTAAACCAAAATGCATTTGGGACGTAAGCTTCGTCAGTACCAGCTCCACTTTTATTAGTATTGCACTTTCCAACTTCGCGTGTGTATTGTCCACGCAAGTAGTTAATTTTCAGCTATGTAAGGTATGAAAAGAGAATATGCTTATTACAAATTACTTAAACATTTGGGTGAGTAGTCATAATTGAAATAATCCCGACTTTTAAGTTAATGGCCGTTTATTTAACGGATATTCCATTAAACAAAAGGCTGGTACTAGTTCATGGAGATGAAAATGGAAACGCCAATCATTAAGTCTGTTCAGGATTTTGTGCGTAATTAAAGTATATGTTTTTACACTTGTTTAAATTCTTGAAGTTAAATTTAGTGTTCTATGAATTTCTTATTAGAAAAGAAAATTTTTGATTATTAATAAATTAACTTTCAACAAGAGCAAACAATAAATGAAATACAATTTTAAATAAAATATCTTATTATGATATAATAGATACATACATATAGACTGCATTTCTTTATTAATTCTGAACGTTTGAAATAAACATTTTTGTTTATTTATTCTTTAGAATGTTCTTGATGATACGTTAACGTATACTTCAAATGCATTCTGTTTATTCCGGCTGTAAAATGGGATTATCCGGAATGTATAAAGAAACGCAGCCATAATAAAATGCAAATGGTTGTCAAGGTAGCAGCATAAAATTTGCAAATGCAATTCCTCATGGCAATCCAAGACCATTTCCACAATGAACAGCCCTATTGTAAATGTATTTACCTTAACTTCAAAGGGACCAATGCCGGGCACGAAACGATTTAAACTTTCTGCCAATTCATTTAGCGCCTGATACCGTGCATGTTTATTATGATAGAACTTATGGCTTGGGTTGTATAGGCACTCATATGATTCCCACAATTCAATTAGATGAAGCACGGCTTCCTTCGACCATTGCAGCTAAAAGTAAGTTTTGTGTAAGCATACTGTGGCAATAATGGACTAAAAATTACCTTCGTAGCTTCCTCATTCATGCTCACAGAATTAAGAAATATACTTTTTTAAGTGCACAAGGAAACGGTTTGGGAACGTTTTACCTTCGTTAAATCAAAGAACAGCTGTACGTCAGATGAAAATAGAAACCCAGGCGATGTGGAACAAACCTAGTATTTTTGAAATGCAATCGATAGTTCGTCGATTGTTCTTTACTGTTCGTCCATCCTTAACGTTTGTTCGTTAGCCACACAGTAATAATTAATTTTTCAATTTTCACTTTATACCGGGTTCGGACAAACATCGAAAACATGTTTTCGCTGCTAAAACTGGTCTCCGACCTAAAACTTGTGTTTTCGTCCATGTAAAATCTCTCAAACGAAAACCAGTTTTCGCTGAAAACTACTTGAAAACTTCGATTATCTATCGAAATGGAAGTCATGATTCTATAGTTGCGATCCCGTACGAGTCCGGACTAGTCAGAATCAGTCAATGGAAATCGATCCCGTACTCGGTTCTCTGACTATTGAGAGGACAAAAAAAGAGAGTAAATACGGTTCTCTCTCTGTCAGAAGTTACCAGTTTTAGTCCGAGAATTTTTTGCTGGTAAATTCTGGTAAATGTGTCAAACGATCAGCTGTAGTGTGTTTGGCAACCAAATTATAAACAAAAGAAAAGTGTACTCTGCTAATTCATGTTGAAAAGTATTTAATTACTTGTTTAAGTGGATTCTAATAAATTTGAAAGTATTTTTGGTTATTTACATGTGTGAGCTGAGTGTGTTTACATACAAAATAAGCAAAAATTTACAACCAAAATTTGGAGGTTATGTTGAAGTTGACAGAAGTTGCCATTTTTTACTAGAAAGCGATACTTTTCAATGTTACTCTCTCGCTCTGAGCGAATTTTTATTTTTTGACAGTTTTACTAGTCCGAGTCCTAAGAATACAGGATTTCACCTAATAATTAGTCTGTTCCTTTGAACTTCGGACTAAAACCTGTGGAACTGTCAAACTACAATTTTACGCTCTCAAATGAGAGTAAAAGGAGAACAGATGCAGAAGTGCATAGGAACGCAAAAAGCACTATTTCCTGTAAAAACGGCAGACGGTTTGTTTACATGTCATTGGTACTACACTGATTTGGCTGAAATATCACTAAATTATTATTATAATCTATACATATTCCAATATTTCGTTGTTTACTTCCATTTTTTAACAAATATAAGGTACTTTGCCTTCACCGCTGTTAGTTTTTGCTTGCACATGCAAATCAGCTGATCGTTTGACACTTTTCATGAACTTACAGGAAAAGAAACTCCGGACTAAATCCTGTAACTTCTGACTAGGAACAGTTGCTCAGTTACTCTCTCAAATGTGTTCCCACTTACAGGTTTTATGTCAATAGGAACGACTTCCTGTAAGTTCTGACTAAATCCTGTAAACCGGACTGCTATTGGAACAGACTAAATACAAGGTTCGCACCGCTCCCTTAGACTAGGTTCACACAGAGAAACTTTTGTTGCTCATTTTCGGCAATTTCTCTTTTGATGTTGCCCCTCGCGTTCACACAGAGAAATTCTTTTGTACACAATTGTTGTTGTCAGCTGTGAGAGCACAAAGCGTGTTGCCCGAGCACGAGCAACTCCTTGCCCTTCCCCCTTCCTCGTCGCTCCTTCTCCCAAAAGTAACGAGTTGCGGCATCAAAAGTTTCTGCGTCTATCGGGTGTAAGAATTTCATTATTTTCATTTGTTAACTGTGATAAATCGTTTGTTCGTTGTCTGTTAATCCCTAAAATGGAGCAAAAGCCGTCAATAAATTCATCATTTATAGATTTTTCATTAACGTTATTTGTTATGGACCCGACCGATATTAGCACTTTATTAGTATAAATATTAGGAGCCTTTATCAAAAGTAATTAACTGTTGATAAACTTGATAAAATGATAAATATATCATTTTGATAAATGAACTGTCAAACTTTCTTTATAACTTCATCAATCAATTTTGGTGGATAAACGTATAAATTTCAGCAAAATTCAACCCTGACAGACTGCCAGGAGCTCGATTTTGTTACGAACACATAAAAAGCAAATTAGCACAATGGACGAGGTAAGAATGAAACGTAACTAGCCAGATAAGTTAAATAATAAACAATTTTGTGCAATTATTTACCAAGGTGCGTTCATGAGAGAATGCGGATAAATTAAGCATTTACCCCTTTATCACTTTAGATGACGATCCCTATTAAGATTTTGGTATTGGAATCGATTGGTCGTCGATTGTTCTTTACTGTTCGTCCATTTTTAACGTTTGTAATAATTAATATTTCAAATTTTACCTTACGTAGCGTTCCAGAACGTCTACGATTTGCAGGTTTTGCAGCACTTAGTCCAAAGTCCAAAGTCGAAAGGCGAAAACAGCTGTTCCTGTGAAACTTGCAAGTCCTGCAAATCCCGTTTTATATAAAAAAATTTGAAAAGAGCGCCGCTTATATTCTATTAATTTATTTCAATTTCGTAATCATTGTCATCATCATCATTTTCGTCTACATTTTGAAGTTTCGGAGATCGTAGAGATTCCCCGCATAATTCACAAAACTTTCAAAGTTTACGTCAGTTATATGAAGACGAATGAAGAAGAATGGTGACAAGTTAACAAGTTCGATTTGTAAGTGTAACTCTCGAGGGCAGGACTGTAAAAAGGGTTTTTTTTTTTTCCAAATTTGATATTTAAACCTAAGGTTTAAAGAGAACAAAATTAAATAAGAAAATAAAATGATTAGAAAACTAACGTCTTTATGGTTTTTTGAATTTATTAAATAAAATCATTTAATAATGTTAACGTAACATACATACAAGTAGATTAATTTTTAGTTTTGGGATAGGGTCGAGAGATACCGTACATGTAAGCAGTAGTGCTGTTTTGGTCCAATTGGACGAAAATTGGTACCTTCATTCTCCGTTGGTAGCTTGGTTGGTTTGATGAAGCTTTTGGTAGGCAAAAATGTTTTGAAAATACAACCAAATTGAACTTTATAATTTGTTCGCTCAATTTAAGTTTACACGTTTAAAACACTGCTTTCACTTTGCATACACGTATAAGATTTCTTGATTTTTTTCCATATTTTATTAAGCAGACAATTTTCTGCAAACAAAAACTCCCTTCCCAAGGTATGGCCGATTAGCTGTTGAAATTATCGAGAAATTACCTATCGTCTTGAAAGAAAAGTTGGTGATAGGCAATTTGCAAAGTGTGAGTGTATTGGTAAAAAAGTGTGAGTGCATGCAAATTGAATCAAATTTGGAAATTTTTTTATTGAAATGTATAAAATGTCTGGATTTGTTTTTTCACACACAAAAAAAATTTTTGATATGAATTGAATCAATCTCAAAGATATTAACATATTGTACAATAACTTAATTATTTTATTTAAAGGCCCGAATTTATTGTGTTTAATCTTAAAGATTGGTGTGAATAACTAACCAATACCGTAAACAATATTATGTGTAGTTTTAATTTTTACTGCTAAGTTGTGTAGCTAAAAGCCCCGCAAACTCGAGAAATCTCGTTTTAATTATGAAAAAAACTTGGAAGTTTGGAAACTGATTAGGTAGGCGTTTTGGTACCTAAAAATATTCTTAAGTGGCAACGCTGCACGTAAGCACATATGCCATTATCCGTTGCATTTTGAAGTAAAATTGCATTCTTTGTATGTACATATTTTCAATACATATTTTATCATACACTAGACTTATTTGGTTTCATCTGAGAAAACGAAAATATTTAAACCCACTTACTGTGAAAGAAATTCCCATCTCGAAATTCCCTAATTTATTTTTAAATATTAACAATATGGTAACGCTACTAGCAACATGAACAAATTGTGAAGCTTCAAAAATCTCAGTATCCGTCAAAAAGTTATTTATTGAAACTACTACCTTCTTGTTATCATGGGTGTACTCAAACAATTCTAAAAATCTGTTTAAAATTTTTATCAGCATTTTTTAAAATTCAAAGTTTTGAAATTTTAATTTACGTGGTTGTTTGATTTTTTTCAGCTTTTCTTTAAAAGAAAAAAAAAACTGGAATGATTAACTAATTTGTCAGAAACTATCAGTCCTATCGGAAAGTGATATATACATATATGGTTTATGGAGAATTTTATTAGCTTTGATTTGACTTACCTGTCTCATTTTATGATTATTAAATTGGTTCGTAAGATATACGTGATTAAGTGGAACCACTTCTTGTTTTAAACTGAATAACAGTAAATTGCAAATATCTCGAAAACGTATCCATAGAAAAAAAATAACTCGATTTTCGGAATCACCGAGCAATTCTACATAAAAATCGGGTAGTGGCGTCTGGAGAACAAAAACCAAACAAAAATTTATGATCCAGTGTTCTGATCTTTCACCCAAATAACATGTAAAAAACCGACTGGGGTTTGTGCAGGAAAAGATCCTTTTTGCGTTACCGTTCACTTCTACATCTGTTCTCCTTTTACTCTCACTTGAGAGAGTAAAATTGTAGTTTGACAGTTCCACAGGTTTTTGCCCGAAGAATACTGGAACAAACTAAGTATTTCTTACCTATTTGCAAGAAAAAAAAAAAAATTGTTTTCGATGATTTGTCGCTTACGATAAAATCGCAATTATGGTCGATATGTACCGAATGTACTTTCAACTAATAAAAGGGCTGAACAAGGACATTTGTACCTACTTTTGCATCGCTCGTTCTCGGTTCATCTCACAGTTAAATTTGAGGCCCATTTAGAAGTTTTCTCCAATCATCATACATATATGCTTCGAAGGCGAATCTTTGCTCAGGACTCTCCAGCCCTGGGGCATAATCTCTAAAATTTCGATATACATACTCCCCAAAGATTACGTTTCTTACGACGCTTAAAAATAGGAAACTCTTTGTCGATTACCTGTCATAAGCATGTGAGTGAGAAATTTAAAAGGGAGTCAAAGCACTGGTTAATTTTAACAGGCAGTCTAGAAAACGGCTCTATACTTATACTTACATTTTGAGCAAAAAGTAAAACACAATTTTTCGATAATATTTCATGTATGTATGTATGTATTGTATATTTGCTTAATATTCCGCTTCATGCATTGCTGTATTCTATATATAATTTGCTCAGCTTCATAAATAATCAAGCTGGTTCTGCAAATTCACTTCCGAGTGAATTTCAATAAACTTCGCTTTGAATTCATATTGGCAGGGGTTGAGATTCACTTGGAAGTGAATTACAGAACCTGCCTGTATAACTATTAGCTAAAATTTGAAACCATTTATTTTAAGTTACATAAAATAATAAATAATAATAAATTATTGTTTGTCAATTGTTAAAACTTACGCGCAAAGACATTTATGTAGAAGAAACTAAAATTTTACAATTATTTCTAAGTACATATCTATGTATGTATGTATGTTGGTATGGTATGTATCTAGTATATGTAATTATTGTAAGCACTTGATACGTTAGTTTAGATAATATTTTTTGTATGCAAGCATACATATGCATATTATATACGAAATTAAGTAAATCATTATTTAAATATTAGAAGCATTATTACATTTGTAATTGTTTAAATTTAATTTTTTCACTTAAATTTTAACCGAATAGAAAAGGCAATCGTTTCAGCATTTAGGAATTATAAGTGATCTGTTTCCTTATGAATGGTGTAATAAATCCACTACCTTATAAATACATACGTATGTTTGTTGTATGTATGGTTGTATGCATCTTTGTGTCGTTGGAAAGATAGTCGGCCAGCGATGTAGGGGCATTAGGCATTAGTCAATTGACTCACACATTTGAAATTTTTCCCTACATCTAGCTGGCTGTATGTATGTATATACATATGAGGTGCTTCAAAAATCGAAGCATAAAGTGTAGAAAGTTAGATTTTAATTTGTTGTTATTTTAAATACTTTGTTTCGCGGTTTTTGTTTTTATCATTATTTTCTTCTTTTTTTTTTTGTAAATTTCATGCAGTTTGGCGCTTTAATTTGAATAAACATCATATGAATACGTTTGGGGGCGTGCACTTACATATACATATGTATTTAATTAAATGTGGTTTGCGTTGTTTTCAATTGTTTAATTGCTGTTAGCTACGCCTTTAACGTCTTAATGTGAGCTTTGCTGATTTGTGTTTTATTTATGCAAAAAATTAATTATCAAGGTCCGTAACGGTTATAATATTTTTAATAAAAATCAAAGTTTAACCGTTAAAATTGGATATCTATTTTCCGGATCAAATTTGTGATTTTTATTGGATTTTTATTTTTTGATCAGTTTTTCATATGCGATCCAAAATTGGTCGATTTCAGAAAATAACGATAAAATTCGTTTAAAGAAATTAAAATTAAAGTTTAACTATTATCGGAAAAGTTAACATCAATACTTAATGATTTTGCAATGATATAAAAATAAAAATCTTGTTATCTAACGGTCCCTGTTAATTATACAGGCCTGCGAGATAGAGTTTTTAAAAGAGGTAGGGCTGATTCTTGTAAACTATTTTGCGCTGAAAACGAATCTGACCTTGAAAATGCTCCATCGTATCAAGATTTTTGAAAATTTTAGGTTAAATGATCACAATGGGCCGTATGAATAAAAATAAGCAATTGCTTTTTCTTGAAATTTCAGATCTTTTACTCAATTTATTCAAACAAAATTGAAGTAAAAGGTATGAAATTTTAAGAAAAAGCAATTACTTAGTTTTTATTCATACGGCCCAATATGGAAATTTATGCATTTTTTACGGGTATGGTTTCTTTTTTTTTTCAATTTTCAACAAAAACATCGCATCATTCTACAAGTAAAAAAATATTAACCACAGTCAAAAACTTGCATAACTAAAAGTCTCATATTGAAAATTGTCTATTTATTTATTATTGACTGATTTGGCAAAATGAATTTTAAAGCTAAAAAGTGACACTACGTTTGCGATGTTTTTGTGGACACTTTAACCTAAAATTACCAAAAATCTTGATATGATGGAGCATTTTCAAGGTCAGATTCGTTTTCAGTGCAAAAATCTCCGAGAATCATCTGGAAACTGGAAAAAAGTGAAATTTCACAGGCCTATGTTATATGTGCAATATGTACATATTTGATAAGAGTGTACATTTGTATATATATTTTTAAGCAGTTATTTATGTTTGTTTATATTTGTATTTTCGTTTTTATGTAAATGCATTTGGCCGTCGAAAACTAAAGTTCGTTTCGTTACTAAGGTGTCCTTGAAAATCCATAAAAACCGAACAAAGTGACTTATAAAATCAAACAGAAAACTGCATGTAATCTTTCGTCCTTCCCCCTTCTAGTCATACTGTTCAAAACCGATCCTGTAGCCCAAATAAAAAAAGCCGTTAGAAAATAATACACCCATTCCGGTGTAGTGATTTTCGTTCAATAACTATAGAACAAAAAGGTACACTTTAAGTGAAAATTGAATTGAATTGCAGTGATTTGTACTGCAGCTAAAACTTTGGTTGAGAATGGGCAAATGGAACTTTGAAGACGTAGCATTAGATCATTTTCGAAACTAAACCACTTCGAAAAAGGTTAAAATTAGACTTAAGAAATGGAAACTATAAAATCCAGAAAAAAGATTATTACAAAAAAAAAAAAAAATAAAGAGATAAAATTTCTTGTTCAGTGTTGAAAAATAAGATGTAGGGAAGGATTTTAAAAACCAGCACGTGGACTTCTTAGCAGTAAAAGGTACACAAATTACGAAACTTGAAATATTCGGCCCTAACTTTCAATGAATTGGCAGCTGGGGTGAACATTAAAATGTCAAAAAGGAGTCACACTCCCAGTAATTTGTATAGCACACCCTTTTGATGCTATGTATGTACAGTTTCCTTCTTATTTATTTGATATTCATAATTTTTTTTTTGTTTATAAAAATGTAGCATATCACGTGTAAATCATATTTTAAAATTTTATAAAAATTTAAAAACATGTCAACAAAGGGGTGTTCTATCTTAATGACATTAAACAAAAAATGAATATTAAACAAACAAAAGGAAAACTGTAAAAACTGAGGATCAATATAGTGTGCTATTCTAATGGCTGGGTGTGTAAGAAAAAAACCCTCAATTTGTTTTCCATACCACGAAATTTGCCTTTAATGGAGTAACATTTTAAAGTCTGTTAATAAACTTTCCGAGTTCAATAAAATACTTTCCATCTTATTTTGGCCATTTACAGACAATTTGGTCAACTAAAAATTATTTACGACATGACTTCTGCTATACATTTTTTATGATTTCATAGTTCTTATAGTTCTAAATAAGTAAAGTCTAAACTGAACCTTTTCGAAATCGTTCCGTTTCGAAACATTCTCATCCAAAGTTTGAGTTTCAAAGTTTAGATTCTTCGATACCTGTACTTGCAAGTAAATACTCGATACTTTTTCTCCAAAGCAAGTATTTCAGTTTGAAATTATTTATTAAGCGCTTTGTTCGTTTTTGTTTTTAACGGGCAGCTTAGCTGATGTGCTATAGTTACGAAATACACTTTACATTGTTTCGTATTTTGTGCATTGTAAATTTGCGATTTATTTCTTGAGCGCATGTGGCGATCTCGTTTTAAGTACCCTCCAGTACTGCTGGAGTCAATTGCTACTTTTGAACCGCTACCGCACCGACTCCTATGTAAGTAGCTACTCTATTAACCCGTGGTAGTGCACATGGTAGTGCAGAATCCAACCAGTCAGAAGCAAAATAGCGAAAAACTACGTCAGAGGGCGCCCATAAATCACGCAAGTGACTACTTAAGTAACTCCCGGTAATGCAGAGAGAGCCGATGGTGACTACCGCCTAGGACATTGCCTTGTAAAAGTAGTCGATCGGTAATTGACCGAGTTTACCAGGTAGCTACCGATTCATCAGTCCTGTAGTCGCTCCCCCGTACTGCAGGGTAGTTGCAGATGTACTTATGTATGTTCATATTTTTTCTAATATATACATATGTATGTACATATGCATGTAAAAACTACAAAGGAGTGAAAATGGTCTGCGCTGACACCGTCACTTATGAAGTTTTTTTTTTTTACTGATAATGTTGCACCTTAAAAATTGTTAGCGACATATAGTCGACAATGCCACAGATGTCATGCAGGTGTACTCCATCACTCCTTCAAAATCTATCTAAGGTCTAGAACAGACAATGTATTGCAGCGGTCACTTATAAAACAAAAAAAAACATTGCATGACACCAATACCCAGTGCATTATATTCACCGAATTGAGCAAGTGGACTGGCACTTTAGCCTAAGAGCAGACTAGCTCAAGCAACGACTGATGCCACCCCTAATGTCTTGCAGTGAGCTACTCTGATCAAACAAAAATTTCTATAAAAAAGTAATGAAAGAATTTTATATAAGAGGAGCGCAGAGTAGCTGTAAGACACTTAAATGACTGAAGTACATAGCATGACACTACGGGCTATACCAGCCAGCAAAAAATCCGAAAACCGATCCGAAAAATGACAAAAAAGTCGATGAACTGCGGATTTTTGTCCGTTTACTGATTTTATTTCCGGATACTTTGACGATCCGTTTTCCCACTAAAGTGTGCGGCAGAAACATATGTACAGACAACAGTATGTGAAACGGATATGTTTTCGGCAGTTTTTTCTGAAATTTGTCAGATAAAATTTTTTTGTATGCGTTTACGGATGCGGAAATAATGGCAAACCCTATTTGATATTTCATAAGTTGTTTTTTTTTATTACATATCGCTCATTAACTGCAATAGTATCATAACTCGAAAAAAGGAAACTCGAGAAAACCGGCTTTAAAGTAAATAAAAAATAAAAGAACACTATTGAAGTAATTCAACGATGTGTACATATGTGTGGTTCTTTGTGTATGTCAATCCTGTTAAGGGCTCATGTCTCTAATTCATGTGTAATCCTAACTAAGGTAAGAAGTAAGGATTACTAATGTAAGTAGTAAGGATTAGACGTAGATTCTACAAAAATTAGAGACGTGAGCCCGGATGAAGTGTTTTCTAAAGTTGTGTCGTTAGGTAATACTGGCAGACCGAAGCCACGCAGAGACCCTTTTATAAAAATTCTTGAAGGAAGTTTGTTCACCAAGCTTGTTCCACACGATACACTGTGCATCGATATGAAAATAACTTTTCTACACATTGAACCTTCAGTGTTTTATATAGTCAAACTTTTTTCGGTCTTCTATTAATGTTATAAGGAATTATTAGATAAAAATTGTAGGGAATTTTGTGGTTAAACATTTTTAAATGCGTAGGAAAAACTGGGGATTTTATTTTTGTTGAGTGGGAATTTTTCAAAAAAATATGTATGTACCATCACTGGTATGTACTACAATCTACTTCCGCCGTCCATTGTTCTATCCACAACCCTCTCAAACGCCGCTAAATAAACGTTGAAAGTTTGCTAATTGATTTCGAAATTGCTTTTCGTTCGTTTTAAATGTGTCTTCGCATATCCATGTATGCCTCGTGCATTTCGCATTCCATGCTGGCAGTAAGAAATGATTTCGCCTAGAAGTACCTCAATAGTGGGCGTCATCTACGCGCTCAGAGTGCCGTCTCTAATGCTGGCATAGGTGTTATGGTCGCTGATGTTGCAGCCGCCGTCAAAGTTCCTCCAGCTGTCGTCGATTGTGACGCGTAATGGCGTGTGCTATCCGCAAGCGTACTAGTGCGCGAGGCACCACTATTGGTAACCATCATTTGCGCACCTGAAAATTTGTTGCCACGCAATGCAGTACCACTGACCACGGATGCTATCGGTGTTGGCGGCGTTGTCACGGTCGTCGTTGAGTTGCTTCTGCCGAACACTGACTTAATTTCGCCACGCATGAAATTATTCTCCTCCGTTTGCAAGAAGAAATTGCGTTTTAGATCATACGAACGGCTGTTGCCAGTTTCTGACACATCCGCCATCGTCGACGATTGCAATTCATTACCGTCCTTCGAACTGTTCGTACTCGATGCCGTGCTGGAGTGATCTTCCTCGCTATTGACTTCCGGAATAGTGGTCGACATAATATTTGTGCGTTGCACGGTGCTGGCTATGCCACTACCAGTGGCGCTCTTCAGTTTGGGTGCGAAGCTCTTAGAAGGCGAGCCGAACTGGCCTTGACGCAGCATTCGACGATTGGCGAAGGTTTTAGGCGAACCGCTTAAGTCGAGCAGCTTCATGCTACTGTTCAGCGCTTGCGTGCCGCTGACAGTTAGCGGTTTATTACCCGGCGCCGTCTCAGTTGACGTAACATTCACAGGACTGGTCTTTTTCAACAACTCAACTGCGGAGAGTTTTCGTTGCACCGGACTTGTTTTGGCCGATTTGGCTAGCAGTAGTTTTTTGAAGTCCATCAGGCTTGTCTTACTATGCCCAATACGATCCGAGCAGGTGTTGTAGCGTTCCGGTGAGTTATCATCGGCCCAATTGGCGTTGCGACTAAGTGGCTGTCGGCAGGGCGAATTATTTAAGTTCGCCTGTGCAGCTTCATCTTCTCGCGAAGGCGTAGAAGTTTGGAATCCACTTCGATTACGTGGCACGATCGGTGATAGATTGCTGGCTACATTTACTCCACTTTGACCTGCGGACGCTGCTGCGCGTGCCAAACGTTCTGAACGTTTTATGGGCGTGGCATACAGATCGTCGCGACAGGTTACGCTACTGGGCGGTGGCTTTTGTTGCCTACGATTCTGTAACGTCCAGTAGATGGGCGTATTCCGTTGAAAGGGTGAAACCTCCACCTGTGACTGTGCTTCCGATTCAACTGGTGGTTGTGGCAGTGGTTGTTGCTGATCTCTCGTTCTATATAAACGTTGATAGCCTGCGGAAAATATAAAAAAAGAAAAGGCAAATGCGTAAAGTTAAAATGTACTGATAAGGGTTAAATAAAAGGATGGATATGCGAGTACACCAGGGTTGAAATTTATTGGAATGCATTAGTAAGTAATTTGAAATTTTAGTAATTTTAATAATATGTACAGTTATATAAGAATGAAATAGATTCGGAACTAAGGATCTACTAAATCAAGCAGCGAACAAAGCACCAAATAAAATTATAAAGTGTACTTACCGCAATTGATCTTGGGAAATAAGGTCCTAGTAGTTTTATGCGGGGTTAAAGGTGCGCTTAACCTATGCATGCGTTTTGTGTTTTTGTGTTTATTTACATGTTGAATGCTTTGGGCAACCAAACAATGGAACCATCAAACGTAGCATGTCCCAACCTAATACCGTATGCGAACGAACATACTCGTTCATATACATATTTAGTATCGGTATCCTAGTCTAACATTAGGTAAAGTAGGTTGTGCAGCGTTGAAATTAACAGCTACTGGGCTCAGATACCGTAACTGCTCAAATATTGCTCGATCACAGAATATATGAATTGGGTTCCAATGAATTTGCTTATTAACGCTTCGAATTTGGAGTTCAGTTTTAGGATTCCAGATGGCTGTAGAAAATTTCAAACAGCAAAAGCTTCCTGTAAACTTCCTCTAAATGAGACAGATAATTTGAGTCCAATTATGACTTCGTCGTAGATAAGAACTGGATAAGCAACCTGGATATAAATAAGCAGATGGAATCCATCCCCCAATCTTTTCGACACGGTGGTGTAGAGGTCGTTGGCTATTACCACCTACGCGGAAAAAATGGTATGCCGAAGAGTGCAAAAAGTTACCCTGCAGCCAATAGCTACATGAGCGACAACACTTGAGCGATACCGCGGTACGCAATTTGGTCTTATCTACCAACTATCCAATTACCGCGGGATAAGCCTTTTTAATCTCGGGATTAAAGTCCTATCGACGATACAGTGCAAAAGATTGAAGTCCTTGCCACATGAACCCAGCACGTCTGAATCAAGGTAAAATTTAATTTTTCAACGGTTTTTTTTTGGTATCCCGAAATCTGAAGGAACGGAAAGTTTTTTACTATTAAACGTGTTTGCTCCTTGGTCGGTCGAAGTTATTTTTGGGGGTAATTTAGAGCTAATGTGAAGGTTCGTGCTCTTTCAGAATCTGGGGCGAACAAAATTACTTCTGCTGATCTAGAGGATTTCACTGGTAGAAAGTAAGTTTCCATTTCATTTTGTGATTTTTTGATATGCAATACAACGATTGTAGTGCTAAATAAAAATAAGATGTTTTGAACAGAGAACTCTAAAAAGAGTTTTTGTCGCCAAAAATTTGCGTTTCATATCGAGGCAACGTACGACTAGCCACTTGTGAAATTTCTTACAGGGTCAGCGTAGCTGGCGCGGACATTTTATAAGACCCCAAAATTATATATCACTTAGCCTAAACCCCAATTCGCTACCAGTCATAAAGTACATGTTTACATAGATATATGTAAATATATGAGACATTCTTCGTCCAATTAGTTTAGGTAAAAATATTGGATTTCAAACGGAATTTTAAAAATGTATGATGATTGATTACGAATACAACGACCTCAAAAACATCCCAGTAAAAAATTTCAAGTGAATCTAAAAATTTTTTCAAACTTTCTCCGCCATATTGGATCGGCTATATTGGATATCAAAAACGCCGCTCGTGATTTAAAAGTAAAAATTCTGACTACGTTTTAAAGAATATAACAGATTTTTTAACTGAGCCAATTTTGGAGAGCGTGGGCTTCAATTGACGGAGAATGCCTCATATGTATGTATGTGCGTATAAATAACACCGCTTACCAAAATTGAGTTTGTAATGCCATTGCACCACTTCCCACCATTCTAAATCCACCAAATGAGAGTAATACAAAAAAATTACATACAAAAATTATGATGAAAAGAAATTGTGCACTTTTTTTTATTAAAAACAGAAAACGTTGGCAAGTGAAACAGCTTAAATAAATTTGAACAAATATTTTTATATGCGAATATAAATACTTACGTATTTTAAGAAATGTCTACTAATAACTATAAAAACTGAACGCTTTTTAGCGCTAACATGTGATTTTAACCATGGATTTTGGGGCTTAAAACTAGTGAACAAGAAAAAGCTTACATACTCGTAGTTGTACTAAGTTTGTTAGCTTGGATTTATGCTTATGCAAGAAACAAATAAGATAGGTTACAACAACAACACACACACGCACATATATTAATAGCTCAACAAATACATACATAGATGTAAAACGTGATAATTACTAAGTGGGATAGGCACTAATTTTTCAAGCTATACTACCAATGCGGGTTAGAACAAAGTTTTCGGTTTAGGCAAATTAGTAAACAATTTTTTTTTGTACGGAAATGTGAGAAAAGCCAGGTAGCAAAAAAACCAACTACTACCACACACACAATTGGATGCATAATGAAGTAATAGAAGCCTTTTGCACAATATTTTTTGTATGGAATTAGAAGCAACCTGTTTTAAATAAATTTGTATGCATGTACATTAGGGTGGCTCACCACTAAAAGGTGCGTCTTTTTCGAGCGGTATCATAAAAAGTATTATACTTTAAGGCTTCCACCAAAATATTTGGAAAAAATATTAAGGTTTATCTACATGAGCTGGACCGATTTGAAAATACCCCCAGAAATATCATTATTATTATTCCGTTTTTTAAATTTTCAAATATTTAATGCAGACCTTTTAAGCTTAAACTCTGCTATCATCTGAGGTGATTTATGGTAAAAAAAAAAAAATATTATAAAAAACTAATTTTATTTATGAAAAACTCGATTTTTGGCAGTATTTTCAAATCGGTTTAGGTCACGTAAATTTTAATATTTTTTTCGAAAAATTTTGGCACAAGTCTTAAAATATAATAAATTTTAAAATTCCGATGGAAAAACCGTACAAGGTTTCTTTTTATATGGAGAGCGGTGCACCCTAGTGTAAATATATATGTATATACATATGTATGTATCTGAAGACGAACTTAACACCTGAGGAGCCTTTAATTTTAAGATTAGCACTTGAAAAATTAGTGCCCATTATATAAATTCTTATAGTTTATTGTTAGTTTTGTGTAACATACAGTTCCTTCTTTTTTCTTACATTTTCAATGCAAACATGTGTATGTACCTAGACTTACATACATAGGTCAAGATTATTCGTAATTCTTTAAAAATGCTTAATTCTCATAACAAATAGTGCAAAAAACTTTACGTAATGGTTATAGGTGTTTCGTTATGCAATTATATGTTCCTTGAAAAGTGTAAATGCTTCGTTATTTGCAGGTGCAGATGAATAAAAAAACAAAAATTATGATAAATAATGTATGTATGTATATAGAATGCTTATTAATATTTGGATGCATTTAATTATTATTTTTTCAATATTATTGTTTTAGTGACACATTGCAGTTAATATGTATGTATTTATGTATATACAAATGTTCAATTACATATTTACATATATTTGTAGTATGTGAGTAACATAAATAATTAGTGCATAATTGTAATTATGTGAGTATGCAAGTATGTATGTATGTACACTAGGCATATGACTTTTTTCTTAAATTAAATATACCCATGTATGAGGAGAGAATGAATGAAGAATGATGAAAAACCAACAAAAATAACGTTTAAATATGGTAATATAAATAATAAAAATAAAAATCCAAACAAAAAACAGAAAACGTAATAAAACCCAAGTCTGCTCTGACCTGTCCTCGAACTCGGCTCCTACTGAGTGGTAATATACAACACTACCTATTCGGCTAATATAAGAATAGTACGGCCTACCAATACTATTCTAATACATATTTAATAATATACATTAATTCTAATTTAGTATTTAAAAGAAATTAAGAAGTTATTTTAAATTAATTCAAGAAGACATTTAAAAAAAAATTAGAAAGTGTTTGTTTTTAAATGTTGCAATCAATCAAGAAAAAAGAATCAGTCAGACATGCTCTACGAAATTAGGTTTTTAAACCTGTATTGTACGAGACATTCCTCTTTGCTAGTAAATTGTCCAGGTAATTTTTTTATTTTATGCGGAACGCAAAATGTTCTGTATTTCTTTTATGGCCGTTTACACCAACTCTGGTTAACACTAATTCCCAGTTAAACATCTTTGCCGACGTTACCGCCACAATGTCATATGCATGGAGTCTGTAACGTCGATAACGAGGTTTAGCTGGGGATTGAAGCTAACAAGAAATCGTGAAAACGGCCCTTAATGTCACCTATTTGTCCCTTATCCGATAATTATGGGAGGTAGTTCTAGAACAATATATACTATATACCTCCCGCAGAATGCTTTCTGTCACAAAAGAAACTTCCAACAAATTTTATTGGGAGGGTTTTTAATATTCAAATTCAAAAACGAAGGTTTTTATCATTTTAAGAAGTAAAAGACTTACTAAAAATATAGATTTATGGTCCGATATAAAAAAATGATTGTTTTAATTTTGGCAAAGTGAGGTTGCTTACTATTTGATAGCACGGTGCTACAAAAAAAAAGTCATGAAATACACCCGAAACAAAACCCAGTGTAGGTTGTAGGTATGTTCGAGTGCAACATGAAAATAGCTCCCGTATAGTTCCTGGAGGAGGGTTATTATTTTAAAACTAAAAAACCTTTATTTTCGTACTTAATGCACTTATCTATTAACAGCTTAACTTTTTTTGTCATCTGATTCTAAAAAGCGAACAACTTTTGAAAAGAGGATTTATAGACCTTTAAAACGATGTATAACAATATATTGTTAGACTTAGCTTGTTTTCATCGGTTAAATTTTAATTTTTTGCACTTTGATGAGCTAGTGTGAGCAAATCCAATTTTTGGCAGCAAATGTCAGTTACGCGGTTTTGAAGAATGACGATACATGGTTTTATACTTTAAACGACGATTTGCTCCTTAGCTC